GCTCCTGGAGACCTCTGAGAGGTAACCTCAGGAGACTCCTGGCGGTATCTCCAGGGACCTCCAGAGCAGGAGGAAGGAGCACGACGACGACGGCGACGACGACGACGGCAACGAGGAGGAGGAGGACGACGACGAGGAGGACGGCGACGAGGAGAACAGTGACGAGGAGGAGGAGGAGGAGGGCGACAAGGAGGAGGAGGAGGAGGAGGAGGAGGAGGACGGCGACAAGGGAGGGAAGGAGAGGGAGGAGAGGGAGGGAAGGGAGGGGGGCGAGGAGAGGGAGGGGAGGTCAGCTCACGACAGCGCGAGAGGACGTCAAAAAAACAGAGGCACAGAGGCTCGCAGAGAGCGAGAGGCGAGAGGTGACCCTCCGCCCGCCAGGTTGGCAAATAAGGTCTTCTAGTCGCCGAATCCCCGGTTCCCGGCTTCCGGGGTTCCCTGTTCCTGGCTCCTGGCTCCCGGTTCCCGGTTCCCGGTTCCCGGCTCCCGGTTCCTGGGTTTCCTGGCTGTTCCCGGTTCCCTGTTCCCGGCTCCCGATTCCCCGTTCCTGGTGTTTTGGTTTTTTGCGTACTTTGGTTCCCGGTTCCTGCGGCTCCCAGTTCCCAGTTCCCAGTTCGTTCCATTGGGATGACCGTGGGGGTTTCTAGCGGATAGGGGGGTTACAAGTGGATGCCAAGGTGGATTGTATCTGGCCCAACCTGGCTTATATGTGGGTTACAAATTCCCCGAGTGGCGTAGGGGGGCTAGATAACTCGGCAAAATGGGCGGAGCCCACTTAGCCCAGATCGTTAACCCCACTAAGCTACTTAAGGCACTCGTAGCCCACTTATAAGCCAGGTTCGGCCAGATATAACCCACCTCGGCATCCGTAACCCCCCTATCCACTTAGAACCCCCCTACGGTCATCCCAGTAGGCTCCCAGCTCCCAGTTCTCGGTTCCGGATTCCTGGTTCCTGGTTCCCGCGGTTCCCGATTCCCGGTTCCCGGTTCCCGGTTCCCGCGGCTCAGAGTTCCGAGTTCTCAGTTCCGGGGTTCTCTCTCTCTCTCTCTCTCTTCCTCTCTCCTCTCTCTCCCTCTCTCCGTCTTATTGTTCTGCTGGCGTCTCATACTTGTGTTTCTCTCCCTCTCTCCCTCTCTCTCTCACTCTCTCTCTCACTCCCTCCCGTTAACTTATATGTGCATACATACACACGTACATGCATACAGACAGACAGACAAACAGACAGACAGGCAGACAGACAGACAGACAGACAGACAGACATGCATGCATCCATCCATGCATGCATGCATACGTACACATACATCAATATATACATACACACCTGCATGCATGCATGCATGCATGCTGACATGCATACATACAGGCATGCATACCTGCATACACAGGCATACATACAAACGTACATACATACATACATACATACATACATACATACATACATACAGACAGACAGACAGACAGACAGACAGACAGACAGACAGACAGACAGACAGACATACGTGCATACATTCAGACATACAGACATACATACATACACGTGAATACACTAGACGTCCTTACTATGCATGTGCATGTATTGGCCGCGCACCCTCTGTCACCCTCACAGTCTATATGTATGTATATTTATCGCTCTTCCACTCCCTCCCTCTCTCTCTCTGCGTTCTATCGCTATAAATGAATATATCCTGACACGTCTTCAGGTTGTCCCTATACGTGTCGATTTCCGTGAGTAGCCGCACATCACTTAAATGCACGCATACATATATATATATATATATATATATATATATATGTATATATGGGTATGTATGTATACATTTCCGCAGGTTATACGTGTATGTGTGTATCGGTCTCTCCCGTTTCTCTGAATACACATAAGTATGTACATAGTCATAAGCACTTACGGTTGATGAGTGTATCCCTCTATACATCTCTCTCCCTTTATCTAGCTATACGATGGTCTATGTAGTCGTAGAAGCATCTGTATACACACAAACGTTTATGTATCTGTGTAGACAGCATACACCATTCTCTGAATAGAGAGATGGTTAGATGACTGAGGTCGAAAACAAGTATAAACAGCTGAACCTAACACGGTACAAAATATCGATGCACATGTCTGACCCTGTAAATAATTCCCAGCCCATATATCTTGTTGTTATCTCTCTCTCTGTATATATAGCTCCCTCCCTCTCTCCAACGAGATACCTATAGATACATTTGTGTAGATATGTGTTATGTGCAGGAGTGTACCGAAACTTTTATGTACTTATGTACATATTATGTACAGCGTATACGTCGTGAGCTCTCCGAGTACATGTTCAGGTGTCAGTATCTCTCTATGCTGTTGGTGTAGACAGAGGTATAGCTCGCTATCTCTCTCTCTCTCTCCGTGTTACTCTCTCTCTCTCTCTCTATCGCGACTATCCCTCTCTCTGCCTGTATAGATTAGATACATGTAACTGTGAATGTATATGTATATGTACAGACTCGAACCACGCGCGCTACGCGCGCGCTTAGGTTCTAGTCACGCTTGCGCCACGTTTTGCGAATCTCGTGTTCGCTCGTCGTGTTTGCGACTTGGCGAAGTCCGGCGTCTGTGGGCGTGGCAGAACCTCCGTCCGCCCCACCCCCTTCCCCTTCCCCCTGCTCCTCCTCCTCCTCCTCCTCCTCCTTCTCCTCCTGCTCCTCCTCCTCCTTCTCCTCCCTCGTCGTCTACGTTGTCGTCGTCGCCGTCGTCGTCGTCGTTGTTGCACTGACGATGCTGTAGTGCAACCTCCCGTCCCATGCCCGCTCCTCACGAGTCCCATCAAGCACTCCTTTTCAGAACCAGAGGCTTCCCTTTGAAAGATGGGTGCCCCATGGGCCGTGGCGAACTTGAAAGAAAAGGGGAATGTGTGAGTTCCTTTTTTTCAAATGCTCTTCGGGCCTCTGTTGGGTTTGTTTGGGGCCTCTTCGGGGCTCCGTGGGACCTCTTGGCAGTTTCTTGGGAGCCTCATTGGGCGTCTTGGAGGACGCTTGGGGCCACCTGGGGGACACTTCTAGCGAAGATCTGGGATTATCCTTTCGCTTTCCCCTTCTCGGGCCGCTGTCGGGACGCGTCTGGGGCTCCTTGTGGGGCCGTTTCGGGCGTTTGGGGGCCATCCACAGACCTCCGAAGCCCATCGGCAATGAACAAGCGAGTTCTTCAATCATCGACCGTTTTCCAGAAGTTGTTTGATCCATTTTCAGCTCTCGGGGCAATTGGGGAAGCCTCTGGGGGCCTCTTCTGGACCTCTGGGAGACGCGTAGGGGGCATCGTGGAAGCGTATTGGGGACCCTTGGGCCCATCTTCGGGCCAGCTTGGACCGTCTTGGTGGCCTCTTGGGCCGTCTTCAGGCCATCCTGGGTCGTTTTGGATCTTGAGAGGCTCTGAAGCGCTCTTGAAGCTGTCCTGGAAGCGTCTGGGGCTCCTCATGAAAGCATCTGGACAGTTCGTTCGGATCTCGTGGCACGTCTCTCGGGGGCCTCCTGGAAGCAGTTCCGAGGCCTCTTGGGGCCCGTTTCGGTGCCTGTCGGGTGCTCTTGGGGGCCTCTCGGGGGCCTCTTGGGGGCCTCTGGGGACCTCCTGGGGGCCACTTGGGGCCGAAGGCCCGCAAAGTCCACTCGGATCCCCGTCTGGGCCCCTTATTGGAGCAGTCTTGGAGCCCTCTTGGGCCGTCTTCGAGGCCTCTTGGGCCGTCCTGGGGCCCTCTCGGGCCGTCTTGGGGCCGTCTTGGGGGCCTCCGACGCCCTCTTGAGGCGATCTTGGGGGCCTCTTGGGCAGTCTTGGAGCGTCGGGACGCCGAAAAGACGAGAACCCCAAAACCTTCAAAACCTTTGAAAGAAAACAACACTTGTTGTGCTTCGGGGCCCTCTTGGGAAGCCTCTTGGAGCCCCCTTGGGGGTCCTTAGAGGCCTCTTGCGCCATCGTGCGACATCTTGGGCGTCTTGGAAGGATCTGTGGCCGTCTCGGGGCCCTCTTGGACCTTGGGGGCCTCCTGTGCCCGTCTTGGAGGCCCCTTGGGCCGTCTTGGAGGCCCCTTGGGCCGTCTTGAGGCCCCATGGAGGCCCCGTGGAGGGGGTGGTAAAAAGTGTCCGCAGATGGTTGCGGAGTGGCCGACCCCAGGCTGGGCGGGGTCGATTTGTTTACTTGCTTACTCATGTGTATATATATACATATACATATATATATATATATATGCACACATGTTTCTATATCTGTGTATATATATACATACATACATATATATATATGTATATATATATATATATATATACAGATCTAGTTATTTATCTTTATATATATACATATAGATAGACAGGTGCATCTCCCTGGCGACGAGGGCCCGGGCCACGGCCCAGGACCCGCGGCCTCCTGGAAGGCCACCAGACGGGCCAGGACAGCTCCAGAAACGGAACACGAGGGCCCCAGGAGGCCCCCAACCGGTCCAAGAGGGCCCGGAGCCGCCGAAGTTTCGCTCCAAGACGCCCAAGATGGCCCCCAGACGGCCCAAGAGGCCTCCAAGACGCCCCAAGAGGCCTCCCACGAGGGCCCCGCAAGACAAAATGCATGACGTTTTCGACTGTGTTTGAAGGGTTTGGGGGTTCTCGTCTTTTCGGCTTCCCGACGATCCAAGTCGGCCCAGGAGGCCCCAAGTATCGCCCCAAGTCGGCCTCGGAGGCGCCCAAGCGGGCGCCGAGACGGCTCAACAAGGACCCTGGACGGCCCAAGAGGCCTCCATGATGGCGCCACAGAGCCTCCAGAACCACTCAAGACAGTCCCCCAAGGCTGAGACTCTCGAGTGCCATCGGGTCACTTTCGCAGACACAGGGAGGGAGGAAAGAGGAACGAGTAGGGACGCGGAAGGAGGGAAAAGCGAGGATACAGGCGGAAGGAAGGATGAGAAAAGACTCAGGCAAGGGCGGATGGAGGGAGGATGAACGGAGGAACGGAAAGGAATTTTCGGGCGGCGGCCGAATCACTAACGATCAATAGCAAAGACTTGAAGACAGCGAGGCTGTATGGAGTTCCCCTGTGGTCTACAGCAAAACCTTGGACGAAAGATGGACGGCAAACCCTCTTGCTGCTGCTCGAACATGGCGCCGGGGTTACCCGCAACTCTCGCCATGCGAGCAAGGAACAAACGCACGAATCCCTGCCCCCCAGACGGCCCACAGCTGCAACAAACATGAACAGCCCTGTGATGCTTGGCAGATGTTCGCGTTCTCGCTGTTCCGGGCTGCCGACAGCTCAAGACTGCCCGAGACGAAACCGCTCCAAGACGGCCCCAGAGGCCCCCAAGATAGCCCCAGACGGCCCAAGATGACCCCAAAGGAGGGGCTCCGAGACGGCATTCGGCACCTGGTAACCCAGACCCCCGACGTCATGATTTTTTCGTAACGCGACCCCCGGAAGCCTCGACCCCTTCCCGGGGACCGGTTTTTCATCCTGAGTCGTTGTTGTTGACAGCCCGGAGGGCCAGTGAGGAGGCCGAAAACAGCGAGAAACCCCCCGTCGTGCTTTCTTCGTCACTCGAGGGGGCCTGGGACATGCTCTGGGCCGGGCGCGGCTCACGAGCCGTTCGCGCCGCCCGAGCGACGCGCCAGCGCAGCCTCGACGAGCTGGCCACTCCGGCGCCAGAGCGCCGCCTCGAGGCGGGCCCCCGCCACGGGCTCCCGCAAGGCCTGGCAGCTGCAGTCGGCGTAGTCCGCCACCGACAGAGGAATAATGATGGGGAGGAGGGGGAGGGGGAGGAGGAGGAGGAGGAGGAGGAGGAGGAGGAGGAGGAGGAGGAGGAGGAGGAGGAGGAGGAGGAGGAGGAGGACGAGGAATAACAGGCGGCACAACGATGGCTGAAACTTTCGGAGGCCCTGGATTCGCGCTGGACCCCCCCTTCCTGGCGCGCGGAGCGAGCAGGGGGGGCGCCGGAGGCGCTGCCAGGGGGGCGCGGCGCCGATCCACGAATCCCGCGCGGAGCTCCGACGATTTCGGTTAGCGCCACTGCTTTCCTCTCCGAATCGAGGCGTAGGTACCGAGTGGAGTGACCTCGTGTCGCTCTGGGTTGCCTGCTCTATGGATCATCCTGAAGGGGCTCTCCGAGGAGGCCTCCAGGAGGCCCCTCCAGGACTTCCAAGAGACCACAAAGAGCCACGTGCCCCATGTCCACGACGAAGAAGGCACGGCGGCGGGACGGAGAGGTGCTTGGCACGCCAGATGACATCTCTTGTTCCCCACCATCCTGCCTGGGGCTTGCGTTTTGAATCTAGCATTGTGGTCTCCAATCCTCCTCCTCCTCCTCCTCCTCCTCCTCCTCCTCCTCCTCCAGCCCCATGCCTCCTCCTCCCTTGTCCTCCTGCTTCCTACCTTCTCGGCTCGCACATGTCATACTGGGGGGCTGCTGACTGCGCATCCGTCGCCACTTCTGTGGGCTCCTGGGAGGCTCGGCGGAGGTGAGGGCAGCGCAGATCACTTCGAGATCTCGCGGCTCCCTCGGGGGCCTCGAACTGCGCAGCCGTAGGCACTCTCCCTGACTCCTGGGGGGCACGGCGGAGGCAAGGGCAGCGCAGACCACTTCGAGACCTCGCAGCTCCCTCGGGGGCTGCGAACTGCGCAACGGGTCGCCACTTTCGTGGGCTCCTGGGAGGCTCGGCGAAGTGCCGGGCAACGCAGATCGCGCGTATCTCGCCATGTTGTGTTCTTTGGTGGCACGGAGCGGTCATACAAATAGTCGCCTCGCATGGCGAAGGGGTTTGGGTGCGCCTCGGGTAGATCACCTGTTCATGAACAGTTCGCTGTGGCTTCCCACCCACCCTGTCGGCAACATCACATCACAACACCTCGGGTCAAACGTGGCCAAGATCGTGCAATACGGCCTCCAATGGCATCGAAGATCACTCCAGATGCCCCCCAATGTGCCCCAAGAGGACCCGAAGATGGCCCGAATAGGGTCCATAGGCTATTTGGGGGAGTCTATCAGACTGTCTTTGGGGCCCTCGGGCCGGCCCCAGAGGCCAAACGCATTGAACCAATATGTGTGTGTTCAATGTTTTCTTCGGGTCATCGTCTTGGTGGAATTAAGAGCATACGCGACGACGCAGGCGGCCTCAAAGAGCCGCCCAAGATGGCCCACGCAGGCCCACCAATGAGGGCCCCGGGACGGCCCAAGAGAGGACCCCACGACGGCTGCCAGTTGCCCCTGCCAAGATGGCCCCAAGACGGCCCCGAGAGGCCCACGCGGCCTGCAAAAGCAAAAGCGCCCAGCGGGGCAAGAGCGTCCTGAGACGGTCCCATGTCGCCGCTCGTCTTGGATCTGGCGAGTCCCGTTCCCATGGGAACTCGTGGACTTCGCCGCCGAGAGAAGCGGCACCGGCCGCATTTTGGGGAGGGCATCTCCCCCGCTCCATGGACTTGGCGACCGCGCGCCAGATCCATGGATCGCCAATCCATGTCTGCGCGCCCCCGGTTGGAGTCCAAGACAGCCTTAAGACGGCCCCGAGAGACCCCCAAAACGGCCTGCAGAGGCGCCAGACGGCGCACGAGTGCCCTTACGACGCCCCCAGGCAGCCCCAAGATGGCCCAAGACGGCCCTACGACAGCCCAAGACAGCCGAAGGCAAGAACGGAGCCCTGAAGACAACCCCACAGACGGTCCCAGAGAGGAGGACAGGAGGAGGAAAAGGAGGAGGAGGAGTAGGAGGAGGAGGTGGAGGAGGAGGAGGAGGAGGAGGAGGGTACCCCCCCAGCGCTGGTCCCCCCAACATCTGGGGGGGGCACACGCAGTCCACTTTTGCGTGGCCGCACTTCCGCTCGGCAGTTCCGACGTCGTCGCTTCCAAAAAGGCAGGGGGCGGCGGTGACTCGCCGTGGGCTCCTGCGATATTCTCCAGGCGCAACGTCCGCTGCAGCACAGAAGGCGACGGTCGACGCACCCTCGGCCGGAGACTTCGAGAAGAGCCCAGGGCCGAGGTAGCGGAAGCAGAAGCGCAGCGGCGCGGACAGGTAGCGGTCGATTCCTGTGGCGGTCGGCCCTGGACTGGCACTGACGGCCGACACGCCCCGTGCCGCGAGCCCACGGGCGAAAAGAACGTTGCAATACTTCGAAGCCAGATACGCTCCAAACCAAGAGTAACTCTGTTCACTTATCAGGTTGTCCATGTCCAAAGACAGGTATTTGGGTCCAAGTTTATGTAGGTCACTGGACACGACTACAACCCGGGCATCTTTTGATAATCGAGGTAATATGCGCGACACGAGATGAAAATGTGACAGATGGTTCACGGCAAACTGCATCTCGTACCCGTCCGCTGAGAGTATCTTATCTGGCAGCGTCGCAACTCCCGCGCAACAGACAATAACGTCGGGTGGCGCCGCACTGATTTCCGGCGGCGCCCAGAGGGGGTGAGGCATAGGGGGCCAGCCTTGAACCCGTTTGTAGTTTATTCGCGAAAATGCCCGTGACAGGCCCCGCCCCACCTTCCCCCCTCATGGTCACGTCGCGATTTGCGCTTGCGCCGTGTGAGAATCAAGTCCGAAGCATTGGCAAACAGCGCCGGCGCGAATCGCGACTGGCCCTCTCCCCCCCTCCCCCCAACCCCAGTCATGCCCGTTGTCGCCAGGGGATACATAACATGATCCTGGCGAGCGACCTAACCACATGCGGGTGTGATTACCACGTTGTGGGTGTCGTTTTTGGGGGAGCTCCCTGTCGGGCCACGAGGCGTGTGAGGGATGTGCCGAAATCGGCGCCGGGACGCACGCGAGCCCTGCCACTGGCGCATTCGGTGGAGCTCCCCCGTGGGGCCACGAAACGTGTAAGGGGTGGGCCGCGTTGGGTGGACGATCGCATGTGAAACCCCTCTCCTGGGAGCTTCGGTGAAGCTCCCTGTGGGGCCACGAAATGTGTGAGGCCTGTGCCGAGCGGGGCGGAGACCCACATGAGAACCCCCCTCCTAGGGGCGTCGGTCGTGTGCCGATAGGTGTGGAAAGACATGCAGCCCCCTCCCCGCTGGCTTCGATGGAGCTCCCTATGGGGCTGCGAATAACGTGAGGGATGTGCTGAAATGGCCGTGGGGAACGCATGCGACCCCCCCCCCCGAGAGCTTCGGTGGAGCTGCCTCTGGGGCCACGAAACGTGTGAGGAGTCTGCCAAAATGGGCGGAGGGACTGCATGCGAAACCACCCCTCCCTGAGGGCTCCTCCTCCTGAGCTCCCACTAGGGCCACGACACGCATGTGTGAGGGGTGTGCCGCCATGGTCAGGGGGACCGCGTGCAATACCCCCCCTGAAGGCTTCGGTGGAGCTCCCGATGGGACCACGAAGAGTGCGAGGGGGTCTGCTGAAATGGTCGGGAGGACCGCATGCGACTCCCCCCCACCTTGAGGGTCTCAGTAGATTCCTCTGGGACCACGAAGCGTGCGAGGGGTGTGCCGAAATAGCAAAAAGGACCGCATCCCCCCGTGGTCGGGGGACTGCGCGCAAAATCCATCCCTGAGGGCTTCGTTGGAGCTCCCGGTGAGGCCACGACACGTGCGAGGGGTGTGGCGAAATGGTCACGAGGACCGCGTGCAATACCTTCCTTCCCCCTTGAGGGCTTCGGTGGAGGTCACTGTGGGACCACGACACCGAAATTGTCGGGGGGACCGCAGGCGACCCCCCCTTGAGGCTTCGGTGAGCTCCCTGTGGGACCATGAAGCGTGCGAGGGGGGTGCCAAAGCGGCCTGAAACAAGTGAGGGATAAATCCGCCCCTGGGGGGTTCAATGAAGCTCTAGAGGGGCCACGACACGTGTGAGGGGTGTGCCGAAATGGTCGGAGGGACCGCGTGCAAAACCCCCTCCTGAGAGCTTCGGTTGCGCTCACTGCGCGGCCACGACACGTGCGAGGCGTGCGAATTTGTCCGCAGCTTCGAGCTGGGAGGAGACGCGGGGCGCTGTCTCTCCAAAACGAGGACCCGGCACCACCGAGGATGGTTGGCGAAAACAGTCTTCTCAGCAAGCGGCGGGGCTTCTCGGAAGACTCTTTTTTTTGGTCGCGGCCGCGGGCGAGAGCGCAAGCGGCGAGTCGCAAGTCCGGGGCGCGGGCCTGCCAATTGACAACAGGAGCAAACTAGAGCCGCTCTCGGAAGACTCGCGCCTTCTCAGAAACCGTCTGCGGCTTCGGAAAAGGCTCCGAAGCCTACCCGAAGACGGGAGGGCTCCTGAAACGCCGCGCCGCCCTGCCGGAGCAGGGCGGCGACAGCTCCACATCGGTCCCCGGACTGCACGGTTTCCCCCAGGGCCGTAGGCGGCCCGAGGAGGAGGAGGAGAAAGGAGGAGGAGGAGAACGGAGGAGGAGGAGGAGGAGGAGGAGGAGGAGGAGGAGAAAGGAGGAGGAGGAGGAGGAGGAGGAGGACGAGGAGGAGGAGGGGGAGGTAGGAGGAGGGAGGAGGAGGAGGAGGAGGAGGAGGAGGAGGAGGAGGAGGAGGAGGAGGAGGAGGAGGAGAAGAAGATGGAGGAGGAGGAGGAGGAGGGAGGAGGGGGAGGTAGGAGGAGGGGGAGGTAGGAGGAGGGGAGGTAGGAGGAGGAGGAGGAGGAGGAGGAGGAGGAGGAGGAGGAGGACGGGTCGCATAAGCCCTTCGGAGAAACCCTCCACCCCGGACCCCCTCCCGGGGTCCAAGCGCAACAGTTTTCTGGGGCTTCGGCCAACCGTGGCCCAGAGTCTAGAGCCCTCCGAAGGCCAACTGCCAGTATCCCACCTCGCCTGCCTTCCGGCTCTTGGAGGGCCGGCCCCCCTACGCTTAAATCGTGCGTGTCCCCGTACAGGGAGACCTTCGACGAAAAATGAAACCCCACACCATTTTTTTGACTATTTTTGAACATCCCCCCTGTAGAGGGACAGGCCCGACTGAACCCTACGCCCCATGCCTTCCCCGCCCCTGGCGCGACGCCGAGAGGTCCTCCGCCAGAGCATCAACTTCCGCCAGGCTCCCCAGGTCGGCGACCACTGGCAGGCAGCGGCCTCGGAGCCCGGCCGAGAGGTGCGCCAGGGCGGCCTCGACACGCTCGGGGGAGCGCCCGTGGAAGAGGACCGACGCCACGTCGCCCTGCTCCAGGATGGCTCTGGCCAGCTCGAAGCCGAGCCCCGTGCACGCCCCGGTGATCAGGACCCGCTTGCCCGACAGCGCCCCGCGATGCGCTGCCAGGACCGACGCCGCAGTGCGCCTGGGCCTGGCAGCTCGGTAGAGCTTCCACCCGACCGCGGCCGCCACCACACCAGCCCCGACGGTGGCGAACGCCGTGCCATCGAGCATCGCTGGCACTCGTGGCCAAAGTGCCAAGCGCACATAGGCAAGTCGAAGTGTTGAGCCAAAGGCAACCGATCCAGAAGCTCGAGCCAAGGCCACGTTCCCGCTCCTCATCGCGACGCGAGGCAATCGCGCGGTCTGGTGTTCGAAGCGTTCCACAGGGAACGAACTGAGCTCACGGGAGATGGGAAGGACAAAGAACGACAACAGCATTTGAAAGACGGAGTTCCACGCGAACCTCCGACCACGTATTTACGTGTTTGCAAGGCTCTCGAGAAACAGCGCGAGAGAGAGAGGGAGAGAGAGCGAGCGAGAGAGAGAGAGAGAGAGAGCGAGCGAGTGAGAGAAAGAGAGAGAGACAGGGAGAGAAAAAGAGAGAGAGAGAGAGACAGAGGCACCGGAAAAGAGGGAGACAGAGAGAGAAACAGAGAGAGAGAGAGAGACACGACACACACACACACACACACACACAGCACCGACTCTGTTCGCCAACGCGTCACACATTCGCACGACAAGTTACGGGAAACGATGTGCGGAAGGCTCCTGCACTGCTCAGATGTTTGCGAGGGAGAAGGAGGAGGAGGAGGAAGAGGAGGAGGAGGAGGAGGAGGAGGAGAAAGGGGGAGGGGAGGGGGAGGGCGGGGGGGAGGAGGAGGAGGAGGAGGAGGAGGAGGAGGAGGGAGGAGGAGGAGGAGGAGGAGGAGGAGAGGAGGAGGAGGAGGAGGAGGAGGAGGAGGAGAAAGGAGGAGGAGGAGGAGGAGGAGGAGGAGCAAAAGGGGAAGGAGGAGGAGGAGGAGGAGGAGAAGAGCAAGAGGGGAGGAGATGGGGAAGGGGACGGGGGAGGGGGAGGGGAAGGAGAAAGAGGAGGAGGAGGAGGGGAGGAGGAGGCGGACCGGAATGAGAAGCAGGAGGAGGAGGAGGAGGAGGAGGGGAATGAGGAATGAGGAATGAGGAATGAGGAGGAGGAGGAGGAGGAGGAGGAGGAGGAGGAGGAGGAGGAGGAGGAGGAGGCCCCTTCCCAGTCAGGAGGGCGGCTTGAGGCCGGGGCCTCGCCACCTTCAGCAGCAGCTGGACCGTGCGCGGAGAGCCCAGGAAGCACGCCTGCGCGGCGTCGGCGGGTCGTCGTCGGCGCCATCACGCGACGCCGCCGCGCCGTCTCGCCGTCACGCCGCCGCCGCGACCCCCCCCCGGGATGCGGCGTCTGGACCCCTTCCCGGGGTGCTGCGCCCGGGGGGCGGCCAAGCTGGTGCGTCGCCGAACAGGGCGACGCCCCCACCCGGGCCACCGTCCCCCCTCCGTCGGGGCCCACGCTGGGATGGCTGCCCCCGCGGCGAGGCGGCGCCGACGGGGCCCCAGGCCGCGGAGGCTGCCGCACGAGCCGCCGCGGCCCCGCGCCGCGGGCGGCCGCGAGCGGCCCCAGAGAGGCACGGCGAGGCCGTGCCGACGGGGCCCCAAAAGGCGGCCGCGGAGGCTGCCGCACGGGCCTCCGCGGCCGCGAGTCGCGGAGCCCGGCGGGCCGAGAGCCCCCCGCCAAGGCGACGAGCGCCGGGGGCGCGAGGAGCCGACAGGGGCGGGCTCGCGGCGTCCCCTCGGCGTGCGGCCCTCTTGCGGCGAACGACTGCGGCTGCCTCCACGTCTGCACGAGGAGCTGCTCTCCGGGCTACGCGAGACGCATTCTGATGGAACTGCGCATCCACGCACGGCCTTGCACACGGCAGCTCCTGCCAGGTGTGCGTCCAGACTTGACCGGAGGCTGATCGCTGGCCAGAGCCTGGGCTGCTCCCAGGTCAGGGCTGCGGCCGCCTCCAGGGGCGGTCCCAAATGGCAAAAGGCTGCGGCCGCCTCCGGGGCTGCGCCCGCTCCGCGGGGGGGGCGTGGCCATTGTGTGTGTGTGGTTCCCTTTCGTCTGCACTTTGAGTGTGGGCTTGTATCGTGCGCATTCAGGAGCAGAAGCTACCGACTTACATGTCTACCGAAACTGAAACACGTCATGACCGCAATGCACTGGAAATTGAGTTGACACTAGTTCCCGGCGCGTGTGCGACTGGCAAACCGTATTCAGAATAGAGCTACGACGCCTGCATGAAACTGTGCAGCGTGAGCGCTGGAAGCCATGCGTATGTTACTACGCATGGTGAACGTATGTCGGGGTATGCGGTGGGTCGTCACTGGCGAGTGGCGGCGGTCCCCCTCGTCGGCCACCCCCTCCCCCTCCCTTTCATCCTCCCCGCGGCGTCATCCTGCTCCTCCCCCCAATTCCTACCCCTCCGATTGCCCGTCCCCCTTCTTCACCTCGCCCTCCGCCCCCTCTCCTCATCCCCCGCCTCCCCCTCCTCCTCCTCCTGCTCCTCCTGCTCCTCCTCCTCCTGCTCCTCCTCCTCCTCCTCCTCCTCCTCCTCCTCCTCCTCCTCCTCCTCCTCCTCCTCCTCCTCCTCGTCAAGCCGATCCTGAGGTGTCGCAGTGGGGGGACGTGTATGGCGTTTGGGGGCCTGAAAGCTTTGTGGACGGAAGTTGCTTGCAGTCCAGCATTCCCGAGGTCGCCAGAGCTGGTTGGCGAACCGTACAGATCTCCTCTGGCTTGCTTCCTTGCCGTGCTGTCTACGCAGCTCTCCCAGGGCCCAGGCAAACCATCGGGAGAGCCGAGAGATGGGCAGTGCGGCAGACCTTGTTTCATAATTCGAATACGGAGCTCATCGTGTCAGATCTTCAAGCCACGGTGAGAGAGGGGAACTCTTGGAGTCCAGAGGCCGCCAGAGGCTGTTCTAAGCATGCTGCGATTTGGGCTGATATATACCGAATGTGTGACAAAGCCCCGCGTTTTTTTTTTCTGGCAGCCAGCGCACCTCTCGCTCGACGAGGTGCTTGAAAAGGATCCAGCCTACAGTTGTGGGCTGGCAACCTGTGGGCTGATTTCTTTGCTCGGCTCGGAGCGGCGTCCCATTCCTATTCGGAAGGATTCTCGAAGGCCTTGGCGCGGGAATTCAAATACCACAAATCCACGCTGAAGTTGTTAGCTTGGGCCTCCCTGGAGCTGCTTAAAAGTGGTGAGTGGACGGGTGACCTGCCTGAGAAACTTCGGCTGGCCGACGTTTGTTTTGCTGTTCCCAAGGTGCAGATCACCCGTCACTGTCTCTGGAGGTCTGAGGCTCGAGGTGATTGGAGGTGCAAGCACTGTGGGCGTTCTGCTCGCACCCCCGCCTCCCTCAAGGCCCTCCTCACTAACAGACACACCCGCGAGTGTGACCCCACTGCTCTCCAGAGGACGGCCACTGCGGAGTGGTTCTTAGTTCACGGGGCCTCGTTTGTCGTGGTGCGCAGTGAGGCTGTGGGTGTGGCTTGTGAGGCCGCAGCGAAGCTGGCACCCGCGTCCGAGGCTCTGGAGTCTTTAGAGGCTGGCCCCTCCCAGCCCGCAGGAGACCCGCTGGGACCCATGAGGGATCTAGGCCACGACCCGTTTCAGGTGGGGCGTCTGTTCGTTTGTCGGCGGTGCTTTGCCCATGGGGTCCCTGCTCATTTCAGAAATCTGTTGAGGCCCTGCAAAGGGCCCAGCTCAGTGGCCTCCACCCGTGCGAGCCAGCGCATGGGCATCAGGAGGGCGGAGCGAGGGCTCCACCCGACCACTGGCGTTTCGCTCCTCGGCCCGAGTGGCGCGTCTGATGACCGCGCTTCTGCTGCGGATGGCGCGGCTGGCCGCGGAGCGGGGTGCGAAGGTAATGGTGCCCCTCCCACCCCTGCCCGTTTTGGGGACGGGCGCGAAGGTGCCCACGTTTCCTCCCCGTTCGTGGTGTCACCCCGTGTGATCCCCTCCAGAGGGGACGACGATAGTTCCGATTAAGTTTTGTTCGGCCCCGCCCCCCGTCGTGTCGTCGCCCGCGCCCGCCGCCCGCATACGCCCTCTTCCACTTCGGCGTGACGGAGTGCGGCGCGCAGGCGCCTCGACCCTCGGGGCTAGGCGGGGCCCCTCCTTGTCCTCTCCCCCTGGCACGCTCGTGCCCCGCGGGAGCTCATTGAACTCGGACCTCCCAGTCGAGCTTCTGCTCTTCTGGGAGGCGCAACGGTTGCGCCTCCTCCTCCTCGTCCTCCTCCTCCTCCTCCTCCTCCTCCTTCTCCACCTCCTCCTCCTCCAAATCCACTACGGCGACGACGACGACGACGACGACGACGACGACGACGACGACGACGACGACGGCAGCGGACGACGACGAGGACGACGACGGCAGCGGACGACGACGACGACGACGACGACGACGACGACGACGACGACGACGACGACGACGACGACGACGACGACGACGACGACGACGGCGGCGACGGCGGCGGCGGCGGCGGCGGCGGCGGCGGCGGACGGCTGCGGCGGTGGCGGCGAAGGACGACGACGACGACCAGGAGAACGACGACGACGACGACGACGACGACGACGATGACGACGACGACGACGACGACGACGACGACGACGACGACGACGACGACGACGGCGGCGGCGGCTGC